GGCAGAGCCCTCCTCCCCTCAGCAGATCCACACTCCCGCCCAGCTCGGTGTCATCTGCAAACTGGCTGAGGGTGCCCTCGATCCCCTCCAGATCATGGATAAAGATGTTAAACAGAGCTGGCCCCAACACTGAGCCCTGGGGGACACCGCTCATGACCGCCCGCTAACTGGGTTTAACTCCGGTCACCACCACGCTCTGGGCTCGGCCACCCAGCCAGTTTTTTATCCAGCGAAGGGTACGCCTGTCCAAGCCATGAGCCGCCAGCTTCTCCAGGAGAATGCTGTGGGAGATGGTGTCAAAGATGAATGACAGGATAAGGTACCCAGATACAGATGAAAGATTTCAAAGAGGTGGCGCTGGCATTTTTTTTCTGAACTACTTCAAAAACTTGATCCCTTTTTTTTCTTCCCTAAGTAAAATGCCAGCTGAGGTGTCAGTTAGCCGAGTTGGTAGCCATTTGTGTCACTACTTGCCTGTGCAGAATACTGCATACCTCTATTGCTCCACTTTATTTTGGGAGGAATACAGACAAAACCACTGGTATCGAAAGGATTCGTACAGCTGTTGATTCCTGAGAGGCTTCCTCTCAGGTTTGCTCCCTGATGTTCTTTGTTCTACCTAAATTACAGCAATTTCTGTTCTTAATACAAAGACATTTTAAAATAATTAATCTGCTTTAGAGAAAGGGTATCATCTGTCCATTACAAATTATTCTCTTGAAAATTGGCATACAGTAAAACGTATTGCTTCCCTCTGGCGGGGCGTCAGTAAGAGGAGTCGGGAAGCTGACTCCCCGATGGTTTGTTCCGTTTCACTGGCTTGCTTTATTGTCGGGCAAGTTACCAGGGGTAAACCTTTACAGAGTGGGGAAGTTCAACCGAAGGGCAGCAAGGCGTAGGTTTCCAGCTCCTTCAGGTGGCTGAAAATGTTGCCCCCCTGCTGCTCTGATTCACTTCCCCATTAATAAAGGAGACAAAAATACGGTCCTAATTGGAGTGAGGCTCTTGTCAGTGCATACAGCTCTTGAACTTCTTTGAATGAAAAAAAATCAAACGTAGATTGGGCATCAGGAAAATTCCTTCCCCAAAGGGCTGTCAGGCACTGGAAGGGGCTGCCCAGGGAAGGGGTCGAGTCCCCAGCCCTGGGGGGATTTAACAGCCAGGCAGAGGCGGTGCTGAGGGCCAGGGTTTGGGGGTGGGATGGCAGGGGTAGGGGGGCAGTTGGGGTTGATGAGCTTAAAGGGCTTTGCCAACCCCAAAGATTCCGTGATTCTGTGGTTCTATGATTCTGAAGTCTTGTGATTGGCCTCATTAATTTTAGGGGGGATTTATATAAAAATGCTGTGAGCACGTTTCATGCTGTTAGTAAGAAGAATCTCTTGTCTTTTGGTATTTCTTAGTGGCCTTTTTTTCTCTTGCCTTCTTCGCAGGCCCTCCTCAGTTTTCAGATGACCCCTCCCAGTTGCAGCCCTCTCCATTTAGCGACTACAGACAATACCAGTGATTCTCTTCGCTCTCCTGGTTCCTATTGTACCTGAGCTGTACTTTACTTTAAAGTGCTGGAGGACCAAGATGCGGTATGTCTTTACACCACTGATAGTCCCTCACACAAACCATGCCCAGAGGACCTTCAGCACTTGTCAGTGTAAAGCTGCACGGGAGAACTTTTAGAAGATGACAAATCTATTTATTCACGATAGATTCCATTGCTGTAATGTTAATACATGTCTGGTAGAATACATGGAGATTTAAGACAAGGAGCAAAGGAGTCTTGTTGTCCTTTGGACGTGGACTGAAGTGAAAGTCTTTGGAGTCTTCTCTGGGCTGTGGCATTGACCATCCGCAGTGAACGCAGCTGGAATTTAGCCGCTTCCCCGTCGGATTTAGGTTGCTACACATACTTCAGCTTAAGGAAAATCATCTACACGCAGTTTTCCATTCCTAAAGTGAATATTATTGGCAGAACGTGCAAGCCAGTGAAAATTACTTCCAGCAATATGTATCTCACTGCTGTTCTTTCCTACGCCGCTGCCGTGCAGCCTCAGTTCTTTGGTTAAAGCAGAATCTGCCTTTTGTGGATCGGCCGGCTGCAGCGTTCCTCCGCCTTCCCCTCAACCCTCGAGGCTCTGAGCCCCTTTTAGCAAGAGGTGGCAGCAAAGTTGTCACTTCTGCTGCTGCTTGCTGTGGCTTTTGAGCAGCAGGCTCGAAAGGGAACGCCCCAGCTGGCTTCCCCTCCTAGAATACAGTGGGGGGCTGTAGAGGCCCCGAACAGAAAACAGGTAGGGCTGGGGGAGCTGGAGGGCGGAGCATGGCACCCACATGCCTGCTGCTGGCGCAACCTCTTGTCTTCTCACCTCGCATCCAGTCCTGAGCACACTTAAAACATCTGCTCCATGGTTTTGTTCTTAAGCTCCCAGTTGTTGAGGCATGGTCCCTGTTGCCAGCAGTTCAAAAATCAGATCCGGCGAGGTTTTCTATTGTTAATGCTCTTGCTCGCTGGCAGTTCCTGATAAAATATTCATATTCAAAAAGACTCGAGTACTATTACCTGAGCCGCTTTGTGGCTTTTCCTCTGCCCGGGAAGGAGCGCGCTCTCCGTGCGCTGTCAGGAAGCTCAGACCCGTGCGGTAGGAGAGGATGAAAACAACGCACAAGCGCTCACGGTTGACACCTGGGTGAATTAGGATTGCACGGAGTGTGCGTGCCAGCACGAGCTCCTCACTGTCTATGCCCCATCATCCTCTAAAAGTGACATTTTTCTGTTTCCAGCCCCCCCCCGCCTGTCCTAGCACCACTCCAGCACCACCAGGGCTTGCCTTGCTGGTGCCGTACTGGTTCGTGTAGTTGCTGCTGCTGTGTAATTGTCAAAAAACCCCTTAAACTTAAAGGTGCTGTGCGGGTGGAGGCTCGTCTTGCTTTGCTGCTTACCTGGTTCCTCGGGTGAATCGTCAAGACAATTTTATTGATTTGTGTCTCTCAGCCAGTGCTCTCCTCTGCCCGGGTGAGCCCCCAGCCGCAGGGGAGCGGGTGAGTCGATGGTGAGAGAGAATTAACTCTCAGCTCTCATCAGCTGCGGAGCCTCCCTGTGTACCCAAATCTGCGTGTGAATCACCAGATGTTTTCCCGTACGCTGTAGGTAGGATTAGAGCACTTGGGTGTTGTTCTCATTGAGCTCAAGGGTTTCGTTCTCCGGCCCTCGCACCGCTGAGCTGTCCTTAGGGGTTTGGGGGGAGGTGAGATGACTCGGCCGAGTCAGCTCCTGGCCCCTATTTAAGCAGCTGCCTGGAGCACTTGGGTGCCCATTCCCACCAGTGCTTCGTCTGGGAGCAGGGGGCCAGGGTGGGACACAGGACCTGGCGTAGGTGCAGCTCCCCAATGCCAGGGCACATCCAAACAGCTCAAAAAGGGGCCAGCATGCAACTCCCTGCAGCAGCAGCGACTCCCACCTGCCGGGGAGAGTGGGGACATGGGGACACATACCTCCAGCAACTGGCTGTGGCCCAGGGGCAGCAGTGGCCCTGCCAGGCGCTCCTCCCTCGCCCCTCTGTCAGGTGCCAGGCTTCGGCCACGCTTCCCCTCTCATCTCCCTCGCCCGCCTGCGCTGGTCACTCACGCTCTGCCTACGAGGAGCCTCGGATTTACGGTGCCGTCCTTTGCTCCCCTCCCCTGCCCAGTGGGGAGGCAGCAGGGCCCCGTCTGGCCACAGCACCCAGCCAAGGAAGGGTTTCCTCCCCTGTCATCGCCGCAATGCCCACGAGCTTCCTGTGCTTTATTTCTGCTGCCAGGGCAGGAGGGATCCCCCTGCACCCCAGGGCTGCTCCTGCAAGAGGCCGCCCACCTCAGAGCCCTCTCCCCAGACGCAGCCCCCACTGCCAGCAGCTTCTCCATGCCCACCCCAAAAAAAAACCAGCCAAGACAGACACCCGCAGCACGACACGGAACTATTGACCTTTTTATTTCAATCATCTACAGCAGCTCTACATTCCCCTAACACACTGTCCTTCCTTCACTACCACAGACAGCGAGGGAGCCGAGTACACTGCGGTGGCAGCAAGTCTTCTTAAAGCTTAGTATTAAATATTAAATATTCTCTCATTTATGTTTACATTACTTTGTCAAGGAAAACAAACAAACAAACGAACAAAAAGACAATTAAAACTTAAGTTACGTGAATCTGTGCCCGTGCCCTGGGCAGCAGCAGTGGGGGCCGCAGAGCTGCCCCCAGCAAGGCGGCTGCTGCGAGGGATATGCAAAAAAAATCTCTGGCCCTGGGCCTGGTAGTGCGTGACTCTGCTCGCTCCGGGGTGAGCTCGGGAAGGGGGTGCTCGGCTGTGCCGGGAGCGGGGTACCCGCACCCTTTGCTTTCGGAAATCAGCATGCCTGGGCAGGTCGGACAACCCCGATGCAGCTAAAACACTGTCTGGAGGAGGCGAGAGCGCGGCAGGGCTGGCTGCCGGGGCCCGCCTCGCCTCCCCTCAGCCCCAGCGAACCGCCGGGGGAAAGGGGGTGAGGATTTGGTCGACAACTTCACTAAAGAATTTTTCCAAAAAACAAAGCAAACAACCAACAACCCCAAACAGTTTTGAGTCTTCCTTTGATTTTAGCAAAGACAGAGTTTAAAAAGCACTTAGGAAGCTTGTACTAAAATCAGGCGCCCTCAGAGGAGAGAGTCGTCTGTGCACCCCCCTTCGAGTCCGTAGCGAAACTCCTGCAGGTTCGACACCCCGTAGAAGTGGACGAAGGCCGCAGCCACCACGAGCACGTGGAAGATCTGATGTGACTGAAACTGCGGGGAAATGAAAAAGCCCTTTAGACCAGACCAAAGGGGACAAAGCAACAGCGGGAACACTTCCTCCTCTTCCTCCTCCTGCACCCCCTGTCCTCCGAGCTCCGCTTTCCCACCCCCTCGTAGCCTGCCCCCTGCCGGCTCAGCAGCCGTTCAAGGTCCGGCTGCCAGCACACGCTGGGGCGCCGGGGCACCCCCAGCTGCCTTCCCCTCATCTCAGAGTTCACCACCCTCAGTCCCGCCTCGCGCCAGCCTCGTGGCTGCCCCCAAAGCGCCCCCCTCCCCGCCTCATCCCCAGACTCACCCAGATGTCGAACTTGCCCGGGAAGAAGCGCTCAGGTATGCGGGCGGCGTACAGCCCCGCGCCCGTGATGTACATCACGGCCATGAGGAAGAACCAGCCCATCTGGCCGACGGTGGTGGCTTTCACGAACCCTTCGGCGATGGTGAAGTGCATGGTGGGCACCACGCCGCTCAGCCCCAGCCCCAGAAAGACGCCTGCGGCGGAGAGGAGAGATCAGCAAACGGGAGCGCGAGCACGGAGTGGGCACTGCCGCTCCCCGCCTGCTCCCCTCGTCCTGCACAAAGGGAAACTCCTGGAGGCACCAGCAGCTTTTCCTCACTCAGTCCTGGACTGTCCAACCCCCACAGCATTTCTTGTTCACAGAATGAGGGCTCTACGCTCTGGTCAAAACCAGTGCTGACCCCCAGTGCTGACTGGGCAGAGCTCACTGTGTGTTCTCCGAAGAGCAGCAGGGCTGCAGCAGCCCCCGCTCCTGGCTACGGGAACAGCTCCTTCGGAAGGTGACAGCCCTTCGGATTGCACCGAAGCCTCACAGGCACAGCAGCCCCAGCCAGGCCTTCGAGGAGAGGCTTTGCCAGAGTCATTGGTTCGGCGAAGCTGCTTGGAGCTCGAGGGGAAGGTGCTAATTAGCAGCGCTGAAATTTTCAGCTCTGGCATCTCAGTAGTTTGGCAGAGGGCAAACGGCACCGCAGCGAGACACCAGCCCAGGGAGGCTGCAGCTTGTGCTCACAGCGGGATCTGGCTCCGCACCGGGGCAGGACAGGAGCCCTCTCTCCAGGAGTGGGCAGCTGGGATCGCTGCCAGCGTGCCAACACCAGCGCTGCTGCCCTGCCCCCTGCCCTCCTCTGAGGGGGTCTCGTGGGTCGCACGCCAGCGGTGCTGCCCGGCTTCCAGCTCAGCATCGCCTCCCCTCACCCAGCCTGGACGCTGCTGCGAGAGATGCTTTGCTGCAGGACCCCCCCGGGCGGCACCCCCGCCCCGGCCCCCCCCCCCGCCGCTTACGGGGCTATTTTTAAATGCTGGCTGGCTGCTCCAAACCTCAGGCTTGCCGACTGCCAGGCAGAGCTCGGGCCCTGCTCAGCGGAGGACCTAAAATCCCCAGTGCAGCAAGAGGATGAAGGAGACCTCTCCCTGCTGGGAGCTCCTGCGGGCTGGTGTGGTGCTCCGGGGGAATTAATTCTGAAGATGCTGAGAGCTCTTCCCAAATGGGATCTTCCCAAAGTGCCTCCCTGAAGCCCTCCCGAGCTCCCTCCCGGGGCGAGGAGGAAGAACTCCTACCTGCTCTTGTCTGCCTGTGCTTGGGGGTGGCAAACCGGTCCCACTGAGCCACGATGATGGCAGAGATGCCCAGGACACAGACGATGGAGAGGTAGATGAGTCTCGGCTGTGGGGAGCAGTAGAACGAGTAGTAGAGCCATGGGACAAAGCTCCCCATGATCAGCAGTGCAATTCCTGAATAATCCAACCTGCAGCCGGGATGCAATGAGAGAGTCACCGGTGAGCCCCCAAACCCACCCCCCTTCCTTGTGTCCTTTTGGTAACAGCGTGTTGGTACCCTCCAGCCTGTCTGCACCCAGACGGAGTTGCCACAGCCCTGCGGGTGAAGCAGAGTCCAAAGAGGGGAGGGTCTCGGGTCTCATCAATGCGATTTGGGACAGGAGAAAGGGCCTGGGCACACTGGGGACGCCCCCAGAGCTGGGCAGCAGCGCAGAGGATGAACAGGAGCTGGCTGGATACGAGAGGGGCTCAAACCACCACGACAGGACGCGGCAGGCACAAGTCCTTGCGCATATGGATTGGACAATTGCCCTCCACTGCAAAGTGCTTTCGATTTATCGATCCAGGAACCGTTTCACCACCAAAAGGCAGCCACTGGCACTACCCCCCACCGCCATGGCAAGAGCCCTCCCCGGTACGCAAGGACATTGCTGCTGAGGGCACGGCGGCACAGTTTGTTCTGCAGACAGGAGCCCACAGGATCTCCGGGGTTTGTGCAAAGGAGATTGGCAGGATTTCCCAGCAAGCAGCACCCGAGTAAATGCCTTTGACAGACTTGCGTGAGCAAGGTCTTATTTGAAAGCCTTGCTGCTGCCCCGCCTGTGCCATGAAGGCCGATGTGAGCTTAACTCTAAGAGCAGCCTGCGCACCGACCTCAGGGAGAGGCACTGGCCACTGCCCGGCCTTTCCACTCTGCCGGGAATCCTGTTTGTTTTGTTTCTTTCAATTTGGTTTCAGTCCAAATTGGACCCAAACCAGAAGTTTTGAAAGCATCTGGTAAACTGGAAATTGCCAAACTGCTGTGTCTGGTGGCTGCCAAGTGAGACCAAGCCCCCCTCCTTGATTCACTGCTACAAGGGGCACCAGGCTGCTCCCTCGGGAGCTGCAGGTTCCCAAGGTCCCCGCCTTTATCATCCCCCTGAGGGCATTTTTGCTGGCAGATTTAAGGTGCTCAGGCGCAGGGCAGAGCCCTCCAGGACCCAGCTGTGGTTCTCTCTCAAGTCCATGCTGGATTTGGTGAATGTTCCCTTCCCCCAAGGATAAAACATTTGGGAATGCTGTGCTTTCCAAGAGGAAGCACTGTGAGAACTCAAAACCTCCTGAGACCACACGACTGCGCTCGTGCTGACTCACTTTGAAAAAGTCCGCGAGACCTTCTCTGAGTGACAGTAGACAGTGTGGAAAAGCCAGGAGAAGCTGAGGCACAGCACCGCTCCCAGGAAGAACATCCCGAACACCACCTTCTCCTGGAGAGGAGCCATGAAATACATGTTGGGCCGCAGCATGGTCAGGATCCCCAGGCAGAGGAACAAGACAAAACCTGCAGGGAACACACCGAGCGGGCAGTCAGGCAGATGCGGCAGAGGCGGGGTGAATGAATTCAGCAAAGAGCCAGGAGAAACACGGCCCTGGCTGCGCTCCTCAAGGCAGGCCCTGCGCGAGTCCTGCTCGCAGTGCACCTGGAGGTGCTCAGTCGTACCCAGGGCTGGCCCAGCAGTGGGCCGTTAGCTGAGACCATCGTTATTGCAGAGAAGTGGAGCCAGGAACGAGGGCATGGTCAGGCACATGGTGAAGCGTCACTGACCTGTCCCTGGGTTTCAGAGTAAAGCGCTCCGAGCCTTTCCCAGAACATGTTTCTCTGTCTTGCTCCTGCGGAGCATCAGCAAAGCCACAAACGGTTGCTGAGCCCAGCCCAGGGCCCCGCAGCGAGGAAGTGCCCTGGTCTCCCTTCACCCAGGGAGCTCCAGGAGCTCTCAGGCACCTCATGGCCCAGCCCTGCATGCACAGGACCAGGCAGAGGAACACAATCCCCAGAGGGAGGCCCTGGGCACAGAGAGGACCCCAGCACCAAGCAAGTCCTGGTCATAAAAGGCCACCCACCTCCAGCCCCAGGGCTACCAAACCCTCCCAGTCACCTAGCAAGTGTGTCCAGATGTTGCCCGTCTCGGTGTGTATTCGGAAGATGCTCTTGAAGCAGGCTCGGAAGGACGGCATGGGAGGCCTGTGTCCGTGCAGGAGGTAATCGTTGTCCTTCAGCCAGTCGGGCAGCACGTCGTAGGGGATCACGCGCCAGCGTCCTTCCCACACCTGCAACATGTCAAGCTGTGCTGGTGGCCCCCGGAGCATCGAGCCAGCCCCAAAGGCTCACGTTTACTCACCCCAGGAGCCTGAAGTTGCAGGCGGAACAAGCCCAGCAGATTCTTCCCTACAGCCAGGGCTGTAAAAGGCCCCGTAAGGCTCCTCGGGCAGAGGAAGTTCTGCTTTTGCAACATCAGCGTCCTATGGGACCCCTTAAGCCACCCACATCCTGCAGAGCCTCCCCACACCGCCCACAGGGAGTCAGAGGCGATTTGCACACTCAGGTTTAACCCTTCTGCACCTGAAGTAACCGTTCCCTGCAGCGGGAAGCTCCCTTCCATTTTGGTCAGGGAAGAGGGGGCCCCAGCTGGCAACAGAACCAGGCTGGCCCTCAGCCGATGCCACCGCTCACTGAACCACAGTGACCATGAGCACAGGCATTGGGTGAAACCAGCAATGGTGCTTGGTGCTCCCAGTCCCCGTTAGAGGAAGGCCGAGACACTGGGATGGCTCCCCAGGTTGCTGCTCGTCAGCACGGCTGGATGCAGCCTCCAACACCCGCTGCCGTCCCCTTCCCGCACTGCTCCCAGGAGATGCCTCTGGGAGGAGGCCCTGGCGAGCGGAGCCAGCTGCCAGCAGAGTCACACGGAACCCCGGGAGCTTTACCCAGACAGAGCAACGCATCCCAGCCCCTGCCTGCCACTCCGAGCCCCAGGCTTGGGGCATCCAGCCCTCATTAATACTCCAAAATCAGGATTGGGGAATTTCTTCAGGCTCCCATACCTTATACACAAACTCTTCCATCTTCTCCATGGCGTGGTGAGCCTGCAGAGGCAGAGTCAGCACACGGACCACCTCCTCCTCTTCCTCACGGGCTGCTGGGCATGGTGGGTCTTCAGCCTAAAGGGAGAAACACCAGGAGGAAATCATTCCTGCCCACGGGAGGAAGAGGAGCATGCGGAGAGTGGCGAGTCCCTTCTGAGAGCACCCGGGCCTTCATCCCTTCCCGCAGGACGGGCAGGGGCCGCCCGCG